TTCTTCCAAAGCTGGTAAACCCTCTTCTTTTTCCTGAGTTCCAGCCATAGCCCTCTGTTCAACCAAGCCGGTCTTCGTCCCCGTCTGCTCATCTTATGGCACACTGGGGCAGCCCGTTTTTTTGCTCCTGTGCCTTTAAGATTGCCTCCTTGAAGAGCCTTCCTGGACCTCTTTCCCCTTCAAAACTGTTTCCCAGGGGACTCTCTTAACCAGTGCCCTCAACAGGCCAGACTCTGCCTCTGTCCAAGGCAGCTGTTTTGCTGGCCCGTCTCCTTACCTTACCCAGGATTGAAAACCTTATCATTTCGTGGTTGCTACGCCCGAGACAGCCTCCGACCACCACATCTCCCACCAGTCCTCTGTTTATAAAGAGCAAGTCCAGCGAGGCACCCCCCCTAGTAGGCTCGCTTACCACTTGCACGAGGAAGTTATCTTCCACACACTTCAGGAACCTCTTGGAGTGTTTCCTTTCTGCTGTGTTGTATTTCCAGCAGATATCTGATAAGTTGAAGTCCCCTACAAGAACAAGGGCCAGCGATTGCGAGACTTCTGCTAGCCGTCTGTAGAACGCTTCATCTGCCTCTTCATCCTGGTTGGGTGGTCTGTAACAGACTCCCATCAGGATATCTGCCTTATTGACCTTCCCCCGATCTTTATCCAAAGGCACTCAACCTTGTCATCACCATCATTGAGTTCAAGACAGTCAAAACACTCTCTAACATATAAAGCCACTCCGCTGCCTCTCTTTCCTTGCTGATCCCTTCTGAAGAGCTTACAGCTATTCATTGCAGCACTCCAGTCATGAGACTCGTCCCACCAGGTTTCCGTGATGGCGATTATGTCATAGCCTTCCTGCTGCACCACGGCTTCCAGCTCTTCCTCTTTGTTGCCCGTGCTGCATGCATTGGTGTAGATGCACTTCGGCTGGGCTACTGATCTCCCCTCTAAGACCGGCCTGCTGCCCCTAGGCTCATCTCCAGCATTTGGGGTTTTATCCCCAGATAAACACCCACTTTGAACCTAGTTTAAAGCCCTCTCAATCAGTCCCGCCAACTCATGGGCTAGAATCCTTTTCCCTCTCTGAGACAGGTGAACTCCATCTGTCATCAGCAGGCCTGGTGCCGTGTAAACCGCCCCATGATCAAAAAAGCCAAAATTCCACCGATGGCACCAGCCTCTGAGCCACGTGTTAATCAGATGGGTTTTCCTGTTCCTTCCAGTATTCTTCCCTGCTACTGAAGGGACAGAGGAAAACACTACCTGTGCTCCTGATCCCTCAACCAGTCTCCCCAGTGCCCTGAAGTCCCTTTTGACTGCCCTTAGACTACTCTCCGCAACCCCATCACTGAGTTGATATTTCACCAGAGGAGCCTGTCACAAGCAGGTCCCATTGGGCTGCTGGGTGATGCTACAGCTGCGCCTCTTCTGAGATGCAGATTTTTACATGATTTGTCTAATGTGTTTCATCATTCCTAATTGTTTCATGTTCCAGTGTGAAGAAAGATGTAGGATGACTTCTTGAGTCACCACCTTGGCTTATGCCAGACTTCCAGTGTCCTCTCCATCCAGGGGAACCGATGGGGCTTTGCCTCTGCAGGCCCCCCCCATGCCAGGGGTTTCCCAAACCCATCGTCTCAAGTGTGAGCCTGTTCCCCAGGGTCTCTCCACCAGCTGGTGACAAAGCCCACCAGCAGCCACTCCAGCCCAGATGGGAGCCGTGAAACTTTCCTTGGTGATGAGCAGGTTTTACCTTCTGTCAGTGGGCTTTGGGGCTGCAGTATCTTTTCCCTGCTTTGGTCCACAGGTGCCTGACCTGCCCCCATGCCATAGCAAGGCTCGTGCCACTCGGAGATAACTCTTTTGGGCAATATCTCCAATTTTAGTGAATTTCTTTAAAAATAGAGGACAACATTGGTGCCTGTTGCTGAGATGTTCTGCTGTGAGTTCCCAGTGCTGTCCATGAAACAGCTCCTCACAGATGCCTGGGGGTTGCATGGTTAATGCGTCAGGCCCAGGGAATAAACTCCAGCACTCAGACAGGGCTGGGGTTTTGTGCTTGGGAGAAGCAGCAATTAGTGCATAGAGGAACAAAATGAAAAACTGTAATAATCTGGCTTTAATCACAATTTTAATGTAAAGGTGACTTGAGAGACAAGGTCTTTTTTGAAAACTGCGAGGGTCCTTAGAGCCGAGCTTGGGTTATAAAAGGAAGCGCACTGGGGATGGAAATAACACCATTGCCCCAGGTAATCCCAATCCAGGGTCCACTCCTCTTCCCTCCTGCTTGTTTCAGAAAGCGGTCTCATGTTTTGGGGAAGAAGCTGTGCTCTGCTCGCCTGGAGGGAGCTGTTTCTCTCATGAGGTCACTTTGTGCATCCCAGGACCTCACCAAGGCTCAGAGAAGCTGATCAGCCCAGGGCAGCAGCCGGCGGATGCAGCTGGCTTGATGCTGGCAGTGCCCCTCTCTGCAGTGCCTCCTGTCCTCAACGTGCCCTCCTGTCCAGAGCAGCAAAATGCCTGATCGGCAGCTCTCAGGAGAGATTTGTTAATTAAAGCCGGGCTTTTTAATCCTTCTGTCCACAGACTGGATCTTAATGAGCCCTGGACAAATAAGTCTCTTGGGTCTTTTCCTGCCAGCCAGCTTACGTGCACCAGCAGGGACAGGTCCTGTGGCTGGAGAGGTGGCCATGCAGAGCACGAGCCCTTTGCCAAGGTGCTACAGGGCACCCGAGCCCTGCTGCAATGGGGGGTTTCAGAGCCGCAACAAAGGTAATCTCTGCACCCTGGTTCTTGCCCCTGGGTTGCTCCTCCTGGGTCTAAACGTTGACAAAAAGTCGCTGCTCCTGACGTGCAGCTCTGCCATCAGTGGCAGCTTCAAAGGTGGGGATGCTGCTGGAGCCTGGCAGGCAAGCGAGCTTGCAGCGGGGATGTTCTCACCGCTGTATTGAACCTGAGGCTCGTCCAGATGTTGCACCTTGAAGGGAGTCTCCTGGGGGAAACACTTGTCTCCAGGAATGTTTCCTGTGATGGGTCTTATCAGAGACATGAGCACAGGCTGAGGCATCCACAGCAGAATCAGATCCTTTCCCATCAGTGATGAACTTGGACCTGTTGGAGCAAGTCCAGAGGAGGCCACAAAAATGATCTGAGGGCTGGAGCACCTCTGCTGTGAGGACAGGCTGAGAATTGGGGTTGTTCAGCCTGGAGAAGAGAAGGCTCTGGGGAGACCTTAGAGCAGCCTTCCAGTACCTAAAGGGGGCTTATGAGAAAGATGGGGAGGGGCTTTTTAGCAGGGGCTGTTGCAATAGTTTAAAACCATCATCCCTTGTCCTAAAAGAGGGTAGATTCAGACTAGATATAAGGAAGGAATTTTTTACAATGAGAGTGGTGAAACACTGGCACAGGTTGCCCAGGGAGATGGCAGATGCCCCATCCCTGGAAACATTCGATGCCAGGTTGGACGGGACTCTGAGAAACCTGATTGAGTTGAAGATGTCCCTGCCCATAGCAGGGGGGGGGTTGGACTAGATGGCCCTTAAAGGTCCCTTCCAACCCAAAGCATGCTATGATTCTATGAACTTGGGGTTGGGGAAGGTGGTCTCTCCTTGCCTATGCCTTTCTTGGAAACTCTGTCTCTGTAGCTGTTGCTCCGAGCAGGCACTACCTGATGCCTTTAGCCTTTGTGTTGTGTTAGCAGCTGCATCCTGTGGCTTCCGCTGCTGCCTGGGTAGTGCAGGAGGTACTCAGGACTTCCCACAAATGGTTTTTAAAGGGGTGTCAGGTGGTGTTGGGGTACCTGGGAGCTGTGCCAGAGGCTGCGTCCCTCCAAGATGGCTTGTGGAAACTCTGATTTTTCTGCCTTTCTCATGGGCACTCCTTTTCCTCCAGGTATTAAGGTAATCGGTGGCATCAAGGAACTCACTGGAGAAGAATATGGAGTTTATGTGAAGAGGATCCTTCCAGGGGGTGTTGCTTACGTAGACGGTGAGTTAAATGTGGTGCAGAGTACCACAAAGTCTGAGAAAAGCCAAAATCCAGCATATTTATTTTATACGTTGCCTTATTAGGCATTTCAGGTGCTTCCTCCCACGTTTTCCAGCAGTGAGGGGTATTTTTTTAGTGTGGCAATCATTGTAACGTCCGACGGCAGCCTTGGCTTGGCTTCTCACTATATGTCTGATTGCTTCGTGTTTTTAAAGCAAGATCCATCTCTACCACACAAAGACCTTCACTTTGCTGCCTGTCCTTTCCCACTGCCCGTAGCCCCAAAATGATCCGCGATCCTTTTGCAAATACAGTTCTGCTCTGGGCCAGTGATTTCATTCTGAGTGTCATCAAATAAGCAGGTATTAGGCAGGAGTCTGCAGAGTTCACCTTTTATAACTTAAGTCAAAACTATTTTTTTTTCCCAAATATTACATTATTTTTCTATCTAATAAAGAAAAATAAATCCAGAGCAGGTGGAAGTGCCACTCGTGGTTTTCTACCTGACCTCAAACTGAATTAAGTAAAAGCTTTATTGCATTTTTCGGTATTTACTTTCGCAACTTCCTACAGCAAAGGAAGTGCTGCAACGTTGGCATCGGTTATTCAGGGAGGTTGCAGAAACTTCATCTGCGGACATCTTGAAAAACAGGTTGGATGAGCATCGCAGGAATGACCTATGCATATTTCATCCTGTCTCTGGGCAAGGGAGGAACTGCCCAACCTCTCCCAGTCCCTTCAAGCTGTATTTTCTGCAGTTTCTATCCATTAGTTTTCTTTTCTAGGGCGCCTGCAGCCAGGAGACCAGATCCTGGAGGTCAATGGAGATTCCCTAATTGGGGTTACAAGTGAGAGGTACCATAGCCAAATGGAAATTTTGCATTCCTGTTGCTTTTGTATAATTCTGTGAAGTGGTTTAAGCTGCGGGTTGCACGGAGGATACCAGGGCATCGCTTTTTGTTTTTTGTTGAACAGCCAGCACTGTTCCCAAGAGCCAACTTGGGAATTACGAGATGAAAAGTTTCTATATAAAAATAAACTGGTGAACCCAAACTGTATTTGTGAGATAATCAGACATTTCCCCAAAATAGTGCGTTTTTTAACAGCTCCTGGCACCCCCACTCCATCTGCTGCAGCTTCCCAGCAAGCCCTGCAGCTCCCAGCACAGATTAGCCAGTGCCTAAGCCCGGCAGCACTGCTCTGCGCAGTGGATTCCCTCTGGAGCTGCAATCCAGCCCCTCAGCTCCCTGCCAAGAAAATAATTAGCTGATCCAGAGGAGTACCACACTTTTGGGGCACCCCTTTTCCATTAAACGTGGCGCCAGCCTGCTGGCTGCCCTGCATTCCCGCATGGTGTGCTTAGGCTGGATGTACGCTTGGGAAGCAGCACGAGGAGCTGCTCTCACCCCCCCCCCCCGAGCGGCTGGGTTTGATGAAGGAGGTCCCCGAGGACATCTCTGCAGCTGCAGGGAGGCTGTGTCTGGCCCCCAGCACACTGCCCTGACTCCCACGGGGACATGTCTCTTTCGAATCAGAAAGCAGCAGTCTCTGAGATGGAAACTTCTCAAGGGAGGAGATGTCCTGGGAGGTATTTGCTTACCACCGCATGCATCTTCTGGGTCTGCTTTGCTATTCGGGACTTCTAATTTATTGCAGAAGTGGGACAATCAGGCTGTGACTTGGCTGCCCTTCGATCCCGCTGCCACGGTAGGGAACAGGGATATCACAGAATCACAGAATTGGCTTGGTTGGAAGAGACCTCTGGGATCATCGAGTCCAACCTTTGCCCTAACACCACCGTGTCAACCAGACCATGGCACTAAGTGCCACCTCCAGTCTTTTCTTAAACCCCTCCAGGGATGGGGACTCCACCACCTCCCTGGGCAGCCCATTCCAACACCTAATGACCCTTTCTGTGAAGAAATGCCTCCTCATTTTTAGCCTGAACTTCCCCATGTGCAGTTTCGGATGATGCCCTCTTGTCCTGTCACTTATTACTTGGGAGAAGAGACCGACCCCCACCTGGCTACACCCTCCTGTCAGGTCGTTGTAGAGAGCGATCAGGTCTCCCCTCAGCCTCCTCTTCTCCAGACCAAACACCCCCAGCTCCCTCAGCCGCTCCCCATCAGACTTGTGCTCCAGACCCTTCACCACCTTCGTTGCCCTTCTCTGGACTCACTCCAGCACCTCCAGGTCTGTCTGGTGGTGAGGGGCCCAGAACTGTCACAGGCATCCAGACAAAAAAAGGTCACTTGGTTGCTGATGGGGTTTGCCCAGGCTGTGACTCTCTGCCCAGTTTGCCATTAGCTTTGATATGTGGCTGGGCAAACTCGGTGGAGCATCGCTGTGAGCTGGCGTTGACGTGTTGCGGTCGTTGTCTTGCAGGGCCGTGGACATCCTGAGGACGGCATCGGCCACCAGCCACATGCGCCTTCTTATAGCCCGCGATGACGATGCCAGGTAAGGAGTGTCAGCTTGCACCAGGAAGGGGGTCATGGCACTTGTTGGCACCACAGCTGGACTACCTTTGAGCTAACCAGGCTCAAAGTCCATGGTGAAGACAGAGGTGGCCAAGGGTCTTTGATAACTGTATACCAGTGGGAACGCGCTGGAGCTGTAACGGGAAGGGAAGCAAAGCTGGTGGCTCCCAGCTGCAGACCTGGCTACAGCCCAGACTGTGCTGGGTCCGTGGGGCATCCTGGCATCGAGCAGATTTCCACAGGTGTTTCCCCAGCAAGGACCAGGGCAGCTCCAGCCTTGGCTGCAGGGTGGCACTGGCTCATGCAGTTCTGCTGTGTGGTGCTGAGCTGCCTACAGCTTATCATGTCCTGCACAGAGCTTTGGATGAAGAGGTACAGGGACAGCAAGATCTTCCTTGTCCTTTCCAGTTAGACACGTTAAGATCTCCCTTCCTCAGGGGATCCCTCCTTCTCGGGGAGGATGAGCAGTTTCTCCCTGAAACTTCTCCTCTCGCCGCTCCCTGGAAAACCTTATTTTCTCTAGAGAAGCTTGGAGTATTCAAAAGGAGAAGGAAAGAGCTCAGTTTGGTCTTGGCTGGATTTAAGCTGTGTGGGACAATGATGGTGTCATGAGAGAGGGCAGCATTATGGAAACCAAGGTATAGGATTAGTGGGGTCTTTGCTCACACCCCTGGAAGATTTGGCACAACGTGCTGGAGCATCCTCTCCCTTGAACAGAAACACAGGTCTGGAAACTTGAGGTGCACCAGGGCTGAGAGCAGGTTTAGGCAGAGTGTGGTTGTGGGCAGGCAGGCTGGTGGTGCTGAGGCTTTGCACTGCGTGTGGGTGGCTGAAGATCACCAAGTCGTTTGTTTACCCACGTCCCGTTAGTGTCGGAGATGGTGGTTTCATTCCTTATCCACCAGCAGCTGTGGAGCGTTACTGCTTTAGCAGAATAGTGAGAGTGCTGTAATGACAGGGGTGAGACTAATTTTGACACAGTAATATACTGGTGGAAGAATTATTTGCTATTAATGATGGCCCGCATTTTCCCTACCCTCTTCCGGTGAAAATAACATCTCAAATTATTTTATTAACAGCAAGTTCTTCAGCAGCTGCTGAGGAAGCACGGGGTGAAGCGAGCAGGTCATCAGAGCTAGACTCTCTTGGTCTGAGTAAGGATGCGCAGGACGCACTTCTGTGCCACGGCAGTCCCCGGCGCCTACCTTACAGGGCAGGGGGAGCAGCAGTGGCAGTGGCATTTTGGGCTGTCCCCTCTGGGTGGCTGTCGCCAGGGCTGGTCCCCAGCAGGAGAGGGATGGGTTCCCACAGCTGAGCAGCTCCCTGCACCCACCAGCAGCAGGACTTGCTCAGCGAAATACTTTATTTCTCAGCCAGATCCCCCAAAGCAGGTTTTCTGCCTTCACCCATGCTGATCTGTTCCAAGCTGTTCAGGCATCTTGATGTGCCTCCTAATATCTTAAACTGCAGCAGATGTTTCTTAAAACATACGCACGCCTGGCTTTGTTGGCAGCTCCAGCTCCCTCGGGCATCTGTCGGCAGTCCCCAATCGCCCTGCAAAGGAGCTGCTTGAAAACCGATGGAGGGAGACTGGGAGGGCAGCGAAACTTTAAGCAATTTATTTGGCCTCTGCTTGCTGTTGGTTATCTGTTAAATCTGCAAAAGGTTAGCCGGTGGGAGTGGGAAAGTAATCAGGTTGGTTTTTTTTTTTTTAAAAAAAAAAAAGCTTTGCAGAGATTTCACTTACATAATCATCTTGCAAACTGTTTAATACACGAATACATATCTCCAGGATTAAGGGCTGTGGAAACAGGGGAAGGATTTTTCTGCTTTCTACTTTTTTTTTTTTCCCCTTAGTTTTGTCTTTATTTTATTGATGCCCTATTATCTTTTAAGTCTGTCCTTGAGCGTGGGCGAGCAGACAGCCATCTGTCTGGGTTGAAGGGGGCTCTCTGACTTCCCAGGGACTGTCGGCTCTGGAGGTGATACCCATGGAGATGCTGTGCCGTGAATTCCCACACGCAGCGGGCAGTCAAGCACCTTCCCACTGCCCAGCAAAGTGGCTCATGAGACGTGAAAGCTGGAGGAAGACGCAGGGAGGAGTGTAATTCAGCGTATTTCCAGATACTCTTGCACAGGTCATCTTCATAAACCCTGAGCGCACAAGGCACGCTGGAGGAGGAAACAAAATGGCTCAGGGTTTGGAAGACGATCCAACCAGCCTGCCAATTTTCCCAATGACTCAGCTGAGTAGCATTTTGCTGTGGTTGCCCTCGGGTGAATTTGACTCATAAACGCTATTATTTGTCCCTGGAGTTAATTATAGGCCCAAATTACCTGTGCTCTTAATGGAACTCAGTCCTGGCGTGTATAAGATGCATGTTTTCAGCCTGTCGCATCAGATGTGCTGCAGAGAGCAGCAGTAATGCTAGGGCTTAAAGCAGAAAATTTAGATTTAGAGCCGGGCATGCTGGGTTTGGATGATGGTTGGATCTGATTTTTGTCTGTGCTCATCTTGAGCTAATGAGGATAATTTTATTGCTTGCACATAATTATTGTTTATTCGTTCTCAGCCTGAAAGTTACAATAGTTCCTTGTTTCTATGCGTTGCACAGATATCATCCTGGTCTTTCAGGTTTATCACTGTGAGAAAGCCAGTTTGTGCTGCACCTCCTCATACTCGCATGATAAAATGCTAAATACCTTGCATCTCCACATGACATGCAGAGTCATCTCGGTGAAAATGGGTTGTTGTATTAATAGGGCTTGCACAAGAAGCAATAAGGAAAGTAGTCTGCTTTTCTGCAAGGGCACACCCAATGTCCAGGAATCAGCAGAGAGGCTGTTGCTGGAGTTCACGCCCAGCCTGGTGTGAAGGCAAGGTAATTGCTTTTTTCCTGCGTGTGACAGTGGCAGCTCAGCCCATGGATTTGCTCGTCTGAGCCCTTGGTGTTAAACTGGAAGGCAGTGCTGGGGCTGACTCCAGCAAGCCTGGGGCATCCCAGGGTCCATTGGCTGCTCTTTGGGGCAAAAACACGCATCCTTTTACACAGAAGCCAAGATGCTCTTGTGCGTGTCACCGCTTCCTAGGCATTAATGGAAAAGCAAAGCCCAGCAGCGATGTGACGTGCTGCCCGCACAGCCGGTGCAGGAGGGCTCACAGCTCGGGCTGTGCTGGCGCTGTGCAGCCCTGTCCCCGGCAGGACTGTGTCGGGATGGACTTGGGCTCCGTGCCGGAGCTGCTGCTCCAGAGCATCATCCCACCTAGACAGCGGCAGAAATGCTGTAGCTGCTGCAAGCTGGGTGTGAGAAAATCTGCTTTTGTGATGCTTTTGTAGTGCTTCGGGTCCACGGTTCCCACTGACCCGCAGGCTTTGGTTTTTTTGAGACAAGCTATTAATTTAGCCAGTGTCACAGGCTCCTCTTTCTCCCCCAGCTGTGGTGCACAGCTGAGCTTTCCAGACACTGTGCTCTCACATAACCTTTGATGTAGGATTTACCCTTTGTTCTCCCAAGAACAAAAGGGCAGGACAAAAAGGTATTATGAGATAAACCAACAATATTCTGGTGGAAGATTGACCCCCAGCTGCTTAATCTGCAGCAAAGTCGTCCTACAGCTGGCTGCTGCCGGCAAACCCCATTATCCCACTCCACGCCATGGGGCTGGCTGAAGGCTGTCCGGGTCTGAGCTCTGTTACAGGGATTCTCCAGACCTCAAATGTCTGCGATGCAGTGAAAAAGAGATAGAGAAGGGATTGTTAGAATGAACTTTCCACCTAATACAACTCTTTTTTTTTTTTTTTTTTTTTTTTAATTAAGCTGGGCATTTTAGTTCTGGAGGCACCTGACAATTCAGAATGTTTTAGTAAGGGTCAAATTTTAAATACTAAAGCCATCTTCTGAAGCCTCTTTGTGTCTGAAAGCGCAAAGCAAGACCTGTTGGCATTCCTTCAGCGTACTTGTTCATTGATTGGCAATGTTTGAGCATCATCTGCCCACTTGCAAATTCTTTCAAATACAGCACTGAGCACAAAATTAATTCTCAGGAGACCGGCACCAGAAAGCGTATTGCTTGCTGCGAGGGTAAGCGTGTGCTTCAAGTTAATCATGTGTTTATGTCCTTGGTGGAACTGGGGCTTGCAGTATTGACCAACAAAGCAGGAGCCGGGACAGTGGGGCGTGATGTAGCATTTAGTCACATCGTCCTTACAGCAAATGGCTGGGGTGGACTCGGGCTTGCAAAGCAACCCGGGGCTCTGAGCTCATTGTTCAGGCTCCTGAGCAAATAACGACAAATACTCCTTTGTGGATGAACTCAACGACATGAAATAAACAACAACAAAGAATTCTCAAGTCATATGTGCCCTTGCTTATAGCAGAGTTTGACAGCATGGCTTGGTGATTGGTTTTGCATTGTTTAGCAGGGTTTAAAGAGCATAAGAGCTGCCGGACTAGTTGCATTTGCATTGACTAAGACTTTTTTAGCCTTTGTTTTAAGTTCATAACCTGTTCTGTGTTCTGATGGGTTATTATCTGAGGCAAATGTAACAATAGATGACCACAGAAATACCCATCCCAAAACAAAATCCCAGTTGCTGATGGCTTGGTAGCCACTGGAAATAATACGTTAGCTTCCAGCGTTTTAGACCTGCCATTGCAAGAGGTCAGGAAGGGATAAGGCCATCACTGCATGAGTTATCAGTGAAACGGGAGTATGAATCACCTATAGAAATACAGAGACTTTACTGGAAAGTTGGAAAAATTCTGCTAAGGTACGATCCATCCAAGGCTTAAGCCAGGGAACCACAGAACAGCAAACCGCTGTCCTACTGCTAAAGGATCTAAGTTGTCCTTCCACTTTCTCAGTGCTTTTAACATCTATTTCAGCGTCTAACGCTATGAAACTGCCTGTTAAAACAGTTTTGTGGAAGGTGGGGTTTCTGAACAACAAAGTAGTTGTCTTTTTTTAAGGCCACGGGTTTAGTTGATAAAGACAATAGTGTTGATGCAAAGTATTGGGATTCACCAAGGCATTCCACTAAGTATTGTGTGACATTTGGATTTAAAATTAGCATTAAATGGAATGAATAAGGAATACATTTGATGGCAATACTAGATAAGGCAGGCAGTGGTCTTTGAAGTTTGTTAATGAGCTGGTTGTTAAAGGGAAGACGTAAATTACTGAGAGCATTTCCAGCAGGAACCTAAGGAGCTGGTGATTCATTCATCATTTAATATTGTTGAGACTAATCTAGCCAATAATACATAACATCTGTCCTGGTAAAGTACGCAGATGACACAACGTCTGCTTGTGTGTAAGAGCAGTCTCCTTGCTGAGGAAACTTTGCTGTGGCTGGTTTGCTACAGTCTTCAGCTTGTCTGGCTGCCAAGTCTGAGAACTGGCCGCTCATAAACAGGCTTTTCCAGTGGCTATAGCATCAAGAAAGCATCTTCCCATGGGGATTCCCTCATGCCTTCAAAGCAGACATCTAATGTTGTTACTGCGGCCACAGAAACAACACTTTCAGGGTCTCTCCCCATTGCCTCCCTGCTTATTTAATGACACATGCAAGAAATCAGTCATCCTTGAGGCTCTTCTCCCTGCCAAAAGGTTGGATTGATCAGCTGGTGTTGGGTTATGAAGGGAGAGGACCACAGAGTCGCAGAGGGACAGCATGCTCCTGGGAGCAAAGAGCCAGTGTGGCAGGGATGGGCACAGGAGGCTGATGTTTGAACATGGCATCCCCTTGCTGTGCCTCCTCATCCAAAAGGATGTGAGAGGCTCATAGCAGCTCAAAGAAGGGTTAGAGAAATTATGCAGCAGCTGCTAAACATGGTTAATGGTGGTTCTTAGTGGGGTTTAAAAACTCAGCATGTTACACTTGGCAAAAGGAAGGTCATGAAGCAATTCACCTGTACACAAAGTTGTGTACAGGCAGTTACAGCTCATCAAGGACTCGACACGCTTGGGTAGCTACATGGTGGTCAAAGTCAGCCTGGAAGCAAAGCATTAATGAAGGCACTTGGGCACCAAGCCAGCTTTCCAGAGGATGTTGTGGATGAGATTGCTTTGCAGAGAGCTTTACGTCAAGACAGAAGGATCATGCTAAACGTTTATGGGCTGCCATTCCTCCCTGTTCTTGAATTCACTGACAAGACCTTCTGATCTTGATACCTGTAAATTTATCATGTGCCTGCTGGCTCAGCATCTTCAGCCACGAGCTGCTGGGAAAAGTACAGAAGCCTGCACTTCATGCATGCAGGTCTTTGTTAAGGTCTTATGCTCCAAGGGTTTAGCCTGTGAGGTTTGTGGAGGACATCACCATGGAGGGATTCAGAGAGTGGGCTGCTTCTTTCACATGTGCTCCAGAAACCATCTCCCATCTTTACCCCAGCAAGAGTTAGCAGGATCTCCTTTCTGTCTAGGAAAGTAGGAAAAAAAAAAATAGAGACTAATCTACATTTATCTATCCTAGAAGGAGTCATAAATAGGCCAAGCATCTTTATGTTTGCATAGTTACAGCTCGTTCTGACAGTCTGTTTAATTTTTGTGGCGTGTTAGCAAAACTTCTGAGCCTTAGAGTTGGAGGTGAAATTATTCCAGCTGATTCCCAGGAGGGTCCATGCAGTGGGGTGTAAGGCAGGGGTGCAAGGCAGGGCTCCTGTGTTCATCTGCCCTCTCTCAGGAAGGACAGTCCTCACCACCGGTGCCTGTCCATATGTCCCTTCCCAGCTCCTCCTGCCCTTGTTCACCCTGAACACTTTCCAGGGCAGGGAAGGAGAACACCAAAGCTCCAGCCCATCGCAGGAAAGCTGCACTGCCATGAGACTGATTATTGACCCTAAGCCTTGCACAGCCTCTTGAAACCAGGAGGGTTATCCTTATGCATGAGGAAGCTCTGTCTGCTCCCCATTGCTGGAGGGCATCAGCTCTGTAGATTTGGTTCGTAAGTCACTGCCATCAGAGGCACCGTTGTCGTATGATCAGGTGGGTAATAGTTTTGAGCAGCAGCCGACTATACCCTGTTTTTGTTTCCAGGAGGGAGTTCTCTGAACTGCTGGAGAAGTTTGGCTCCCAGAGCAACACTGGCTCAGCGCGGAGCTCGCCGATCCTGCACGGCGGCAGTGAGTAGCTCAGCATGCCTTTGGGGGGGAAACCAAAAGCCCTTCTCTTTGCCAAGAGTTTTCTTTATCCCGGTGTTGTTTTGACTGGATTTGTGTAGGTGTTTGGGTGGAGGTTTGAAGGAAGAGAAGTCCTGCTTGTCCTTATTGCGAGCACTTAGTGCATCCCTGGCGCAGAGCAGCAGGCATGGGCAGTCCTGCCTGCACAGAGCACGCACAAAGCAAGGCAGCAAGCCGGCCTCCTCAGGGTGAAGAAAGGAGAATTAAGTTGGGGTTGAAACCACTTCCCAGATCCCTAGACTCTGCTTAACTGACATGTTGGGCAGGTAATCCCATCAGTACCTGTCTCTACAGGTGCAGCTTTCTGCTATGGATTTCAAAGCATCTCAGCAATCATTCATTCCATGATCATTATTTTTCATTTGCAAATGGGAACTGTTTAATGAGATGCAACAAGGTTAACCTAAGCAAGGTGCCAACACATCAAATCACATGTGCTTGGGGGAAGAAGCTGTCCCTCTGACTTGGCATCCCACCAGACAGCTGCCAACCCTTCCCCAATGGCAGAGCTATATGCAGGGCTGGCAGAGGGGTGACGGTCCCATGCCAGACTTGTGCCGAGGAGGCTGAATGTTTCCTCTCCATCAGCAACATACTGAGGTCTTCAACTACCATGTGGTTTTCCTCAAAAAGCTAGACCAACAGTGTTAGGTCCCAGTGGTAGAGCAGGGGAGCAGAATGATGCTGGAGTATTTGCGTTCCCTGGACTGACTCTGACTTTGTTGTTCAGGTCGATACCTGGAAAGTACATCCTCAGGCTCCTCCTCGCGCTCTCAGAGCCCGCTGCTGCTGAGCCCTGCCAATTCCCACGGCCCCTTCATCGGGAACCTGGCGCACCCCCCTCATGCACAGTACGTACGGGTCGTGTCGGGCCGACCCCACAAGGCCTGTCCCTTGGTCAGTCATGAAGATATCACTGAATGTCTAACACTGTCTTAGGGGTAGATCCGGTAAATAATTTCAGTGCTTGAAGAACTGCTTTGTACATCCTTATGTCCTCTATACTGATGTATCACAGTATGGCTAGGAGACCACAGCATCTTCTAGAAGTCCTTGTTGTGGTGGCATCTTGACTGTTCCTGGGAGCCTGTGCCCAAGAGCTGAAAAATCTTCCCTGTTGAGGCAGTCAATGTGTCTGCAATATGGTTAACCACGCAATGGCTCCTCTTCCTCCCCTCTGAAACTCACGGAGAAGCTGCGGCTTACAGCCAGCTGAGAGGACCCGGCACATCACCTTTATAAACAATGTCATGAGTGGAGTGTTTCTGCGAGGCCAGTGGTACTTTTGGAAGGTGTTTCAGGAGCTTGTTTTCTATTGCCCTGCTTCTGGCACGCTGACATCGTGCAACCAGAGCACAAGCACTGCCCTCTCGATGCAAACACTCCTTTGCTTTGGAGTCAACAGTGGTTGCCTACAGACACTGCATCCTTTTGTCTCCAGAGCATCTCCTGGAGCATGTGTTTTCATGTGGTCATCTGGCCCTTTCATATTTTGCAGGATCATAGGTTTGTACAGGCAGAGCTTGTTTTTCTGTGGAGTCTCGTCTCCAGAGTGTTCGGGGTTGCCCTTCTCAAGAGGGACAGCTAGGAGGGTGTTAACAGTCATGGAAGTGGGACCATTTGTCCCCAGAGCTTGCAGCTTCCCTCCTTTTGCCAGCGTAAACAAGCCAAGTCGCTGGTAAAGAGAATCAGCCCTCACTGCAGAACCAGTAAATCCTCTTGCTAAATACCAGCTTATTAGGGATTTGCAGAGGACAAATATTTGGCTGAGGTTTAAGCTGCTTGCATGGCGTGAGAGACCCTTACAGAGGAGAGGCCAGCTCATCTACTTGGCAGCTGGTTTGGACAAACTAGACATCCTTGCCCTGCTGTTAACCCGCTCCAGGCTGCGACATAGGCTAGAGAGGACCTGGTTTGGTGGCCTTCTTGCTCAACACTGCCACGCTGTGCTATGTTCTGCTTGTCTCCATGCTGGTGCCAGGTCCCAGTGGTCTTCTAGGAGCAGCACGAGCCGGTTGAAATCACGGACCGTTGGTGGTCAGCTGCAGAGATGTAATTCGGGCCATGGGTCTTTTCACACGTGTGGCTGCCACCCCTTCTCCTCACCGCAGGTTGTCCCCAGGCTGTGGCCTCTCATGGTGGTGTCATCTGAGGTCCTGCCACACCATTGAGCAACAGGACTCAGATATGAGTTAGTGTCTGATATTTTGATTTGAACGGAGGGTTTTAATGCTGTATTTTGTGACATCATCTTCCCAAAATATTTCTTAGAGCGATGTTTTTTCATGAGACTGAGACGCATGCTGCATGAATGCAGTCCCTTTTCCCCGCAAAGCCAGCTGGCTCTCCCGGGGTCCCACTGCCACTTTGGGGGGTGCTGGCAGCCCACTGCTCTGTCACTGAGGTGTCTGACCATGGGGGATGGCATCACTGGGGAGCACAGGGTGGTTACATGCTGATGTCGTTGTGAGGCACAGGATGCACAGCTGTCGTTGTGTCTTAAGTTATCAGATAACACAAGAAGGACCAGAAACTGCAGACCATTTTGTGAGTGGCTGCTACGGAAATAAACTGAAAAGGAGAAAAGCCAGCTGCACCCAGCCCATTAGGAGGAAAAGGCTTGCTGACCCTTCGGTCCCACCGAATCCTTCCCCAAAACCTCCCTGTTACAATGCTGCCCGCTGGCCCACGGGCGATAAGTGAAATCTCTGCTCCCACAAGCACTTACTGCAATTGCTAAACCTCCCTCCTGGCACGGAGATGCCTGGTCTTGGTGGTCTGTTGGGTCCTGTCTAGCAGGCAGCTCTTCCAGGGTAGTGTCCAACCTTATTACTGCTCCATTTGCAGTACATCCTTGACTGGGCAAGTCATCTGTACCACTGCCACAGAAGTAAATCACAGTGTGGTGGGTACTGCTATGAAGGTGCTTAAGGGCTCATTTCCTAGGGCATCTTGCAAGATTTTGAGTCTAAACCTCAGTTAAGACACAGTCAGCTGTGTATCCTGCGCTTCACTTTGACATTTGCTAGGGGCTGCTTAATAGTTGATCAATCTGTAAATTGCTCTCTGGTGATTTAGCTGGATTCAAGCAATAACCACATTGATCCTTTGTGTACTTCTGGCTATAAAAACTAAGAGTGCCAAATACATTCTGTTTAAATATTTAGTTTCTTCTCTCTTTATTTTCTAAATGCAAAGGGGTGTTGGCCAGCATTTGGGATTATGCCAGTCATCTTCCTAATGCTGAACAATGTTTGCTGAGAAACAAGAGTCCTCACCTCCTCTTTCCAAGGTTGGGTGGAAGAAAAGATGCAGAGACAGAAAAGGTCGGGTGAAGTTAGAAGGATCACGCACAGAAAGAAAACCAGGCAGAGTTTGTTCAGCGACATGGGAAAATAAACCAGATCACCTTGAGTCACCTGCTAACATCTCTCCCTTGCAGCTACTCCACTGAATCAGGAATCCAGAGCATTTCTATAGCAAAATCCTCCGGCTTAGGGCTGACAATCAGTGGTGGATCTAACAGGCCTGATGGCCCCATGATTTATGTTCAAGAGCTTATGCCAGATGGTGACTGTTACAAGGTAAGTCAGCATGGAGATCCTCAGTAACTTTGCAATGGGGACCTCTCCTAGACGCTGTAGCTGTTCTGAAACAGCTTTTCAAAGAATAGACGAATAATGCTTTGCACGGACTAATGAGGATTTGTGTTGCAGGAGAAGGCTTTGGGCAGAGAGATGTTCCTTCCCAATGCTGTGACTTTCTCCTTTGTTTAGGATGGTCGGCTCCGACCTGGTGACCAACTAATCGCTATCAATAAAGATTCTTTGGTGGGCAGCACACATGAAGAGGCCAGAAAAATAATTGCAAAAGCCAAACTCAGGTAGGCATACAACTTATTTCCTGGCATCATCATGGTGCTGTTGAGTCTTAGACAGAAACCCTTCATGTCATACCAATGTTTGCCTTCAAGAAGCATGGGGCTTATTAGTCTTAAATGATGCTTCAAGATGGTCCTGATAGGCGGTCATATAATGAAGTCTTGAATGCATGGATCATCCTGAAGTGTAATCTAGACCTTCCCAATGTTCTGGTCCTCATGAATATCCCCTATCACTGCCCAGCAGAGTTCTGTAATGGAACTGAGGTTCAAACAAGCAACACAGCTGGTGGAGATCCAGCTACACTGGTGCAGGCTACATGGGTTTAAGTGAGATTATCCCAGAGAAACAACCACAAGCATGGAAGTTCTGCAAATTTGTGCTTTTTTTTTTTTTGTTAATAAAATGCTCTGTATCTGTTGTTTGTTTAAGACACGAGGGAAACACAGAAGTGGCCTTTATTCCTGGAAGGGCACGGTTACATGCTGGACTATCAGTTCATAACAACGTCTCATCGCCACCTCCAAAGGCTGTGGGAAACGGTCTGAGTTCCTGCAGACTGAAGGTCCACGTGAGGTCCCAAGAGGTAGGTTGAAGTTCATTATCTAAGCCCACAGACATCGGTCCTGTGATCTTTCTTTGACCAGAAAACTCTTCTTTAGGGACTCCGTGGCAGTCCTTTTGGACTGTGGAGCGTCTGTAATGCCAATGTACGTAGCCCTGTTTTTCAGCCCGGTATCTTAAATCTGAAATATTGTTTCTTCTGTCTTGGGTTTGAGCTGGCGAAGGATCTGTGGAGGTAACGAGAGGAGTTTCATCTCCAGGGCCTGCATTCAGTCCTGTTTCAGAAATCTCAGGTTTTACAAAAACAAAACCCTTCTGTGGATAGCAGCCTGCATCTCATTCCATACCAGTCACAGAGCTGTAAGGGATCTCAGGAGTCGGTTTGATCTAGTCTCCTACCCAAAGGCAGGAACAACTCTTTATTCTTAAAGACCTCTGATAAGGATGAATCTGCAGCATTCCTAAGCAGCCCATTTCTGTTCTTCACTAGTTTAATGATAAGCCAGGCTCATTCTTCCTGTGAAGCTTAGCTCCATGTTGTGTTTGCAGAAACAAGCGCTCGAGCTGTGTGTGGTGAGACAGGGTTTAACCACACAACCCTCACAATAATTTAGGTCTGTGGCTGGATTCTGTGCATTTGTCGCTCCTCTCCTGGACAGGTGCAATGCTTGGTGCATCTTCTGCCCTCTTCCACATAAACTTCCTTTAGAAAGGACCAGCTGGATGTTCCTTTCATACAAGCATCATTCACAAAATATGTCTCTTTCCAGACCCTGTGGAGACATGGACTTGCAAGAATGTCATATACATGTTGCCTTTGGGTGTACCAGGCTGGAGACAGGCTTATGGAAGTCAGCCTTAGCCCATATACATATAGCTGAGTGGTATAGTTAGATCCTTCACCATCCAGCAGAAGGTGTGCTTGTGTAATGTTGTGCATCTGTAGGAAATTACACTGCCGGCTGGAATTAAATTGCTCCTTTCCTCACTTCACTGCTAAAAGATGGAATTTTTAATGAGGTCTGGGCTTCCACACTAGGGAAAGTGTGCTCAGGGACCCGTGCTACCTGTCTGTATGTCCTGAGCACCAGTCCTGTGGCCCTCTCTGCATCCAAGTTCTCAGCTGTGGAAGCATTGTCTTGGTGCTGCCTAGCATATCTACCCTGTGCCTCTATTTTTCCCTTTTGCTTGTACTTTCAGCCATGACTTGGCACTTCAGAAAGGTCTTGGCTTCCCGTCATTCTCACTGTGGTAATTATGTGTTTTGGGTAAATAATACAACTGGTTGCAGTCAGACTCAGGACCTCGCTGGTCTGTTGGATGCAGAGCTCTAGGGAGAAGCTCTATGGAGAAACCATGCAAGGTCAAATTCATTCTCGGCTCTCAGCCACAGTTACAGTAATGACAAACTCATTTTTCTGTGTGTGACCAGAGATTTTGAGATGGCTCAGGAACGTCCCTGTGCCGAGTGCTCCCAGAGAAACCCGGGGAGTCTCTTTTGGCCCATCTGCACAAAAGGTCTATGTGGTGCCTTCGCTTTTTATGGGCCAGATGGGTTGCTCTCTCTTGAACACCTCTATCTTCTGCTCTTTATTTACACCAACAGATTCGGCTTAGCGACTGTCTGTGCTGTTTTGTCTTATTTTTCTAGAATAGACATGAAAATCATTTTCCTGTGCCTTCTTTGTCACCAGACATTTGCCCACCAGAGCTTACCGTCTCAGGTAAGAGTCCTGCTAAATTGTTCTTTTTTTGTGGGTGACAAACACAGCCCTGGCTCCTTGGTGCTGAAGTTGATGAAATTAATTTTGATCGGTGATTATACAACTGTAGTGGAATCTAATGGGGTGATAATGAGACTCAGCCTGCTAGGAGAGAGGGAAGGTAGCAGCTTGGCTTACCCAACGGGTAGTAGTTATGTCCATGTTTGTCCATAGTAACAAAATTCTTTACTAAGTCATTTGGAGGACTAAGGTATTCACAGGAGACAACTTCTTTCCTTCTCAGCCTGTGGTTCATTTGCAGCAGCATCTTTGCCCACATGCAAAGATCACATCAGACTTGCATGCAGCAGGTCTCACTGCAGGCAACATTCCTTTCTGATGGGAATGAGAGGTCCTCCGAGACACAGTGTAAAAAAGGTCAATTAATGATAGCTGTAACGTATGCAGCAACTCCGGCCATTATACAGGCATTAAGGATGCCCTCAGTTGGTCAAACTGGGAAATTGCTTACAGATGTGATCAAGTCAGATTTCTCTCCACATCCAAGCTACACTTTTTGCTTACTTTTCCATGCTGTGTTTTCTCTCCATGCTCTTACCGTTTGCGGGAGAGACCTACTCTGTTCACCTAATAGGATGGCAGCAACCGGAGGGTGAACTCAAATCACTCTGTAGCTTCACAAGTCCCTCAAGGAACCGCAGGAAACCTCAATGCTCCAGTGTCCAGGAAGATGACCTCCAGCAAGATTACCCATGTGCCTATGATATGAAGGTTACCCCTGCCACAAGGAAAAGATGGGCTTTCCCTAGCGAGTCCCTAGCAAGGGCTACCCATCATTCTGGCGGCCGCAAGTCCGATGGCCTTTCCTTCCCCATGCGCTACCAAGGCGCTAGCCTTGCTTGCAAATCCCTGTGCCGTGTTGTAATTTCCATCTGGAAGGCTAAGATTGAGTGTTGCAAGGTAAATTGTGTTTAGTCCATACCTGGGATTAGTGGGAGAGACAGGGAGCAGACGGTGCTGGGCTGGGCGTCCGTCAGCGCTCTGCTCCCAGGGATGCCTGTCTCACCTTGGGCAAGCTCAGCAGGCTCCAGCCTTTGCCTTCCATGTTCTGTGCTGCAGAAACCCTGGGACAGGGACTGCCCTCAGTCTGTCCTCCCTGCTCCAAGCGTCCTGCAGCCTTGATTTCAGGTAAGCTTTTAGGTGGCCACCACCAACAGCCAGAGCTGCCAGTGACAGGCAGCAAAGCTCTGGGTCATGTAGGCAATCCAGCAAACAGCAATGACATAATCACTTCCTGACTTAGCTAGGGGATTTTATTACATGCAGGTTTTTTTAATGTGAAATGCCGAGGAGGCTTTGTGTCAGTGTTGTCATCCATGAAAACAAGACAACTGGCTTTGAAAGAGCAGCAGCCAGGCTTGGAGCCTGGGCCAGGGACTGCCTCTCTCTGGGTGCCTGATGGATGCCCTGGATTCTCCGTGTCCGGAGCTGACGGCAAAGCCACGTGGAGCTAATCCTGATTAGCCACACATCGAAGGGTAACAGCTCTGCCCTTGAACTTGGAGAGTAAATTGTTGGTGGCCAATCCAGCAAACCCATTTATTACCTCTTGCTGCTTCCCAGCTGCTGGCATTAGCAGAGTGGATGAATACTCGGATTAGGAGGATCACACTTGTGCAGGACCTCCACTGCTTCTTGCTGCCTTCTCCTTGCTCCTGGTCTCTGCCCTGACGGTCGAGGAGGGTGCAGTGAGAAGCACTTGAGAGGTTCAGGAGAAGTAGAGTTACTCGGCAAGACAGCGTTTCCCATGATGTTAATCAGATCCCAGGCAGGTGAAAGAAATTGCTCCCTGGGCAAATCCCGTGGCACTGGCACGAGAAGGAATTTTGTCACCAACCTGGGCTGATAGCTTGACGGTGAGCAGGGGCGGGCAGGCAGCAGGGCTGCAGGCACAGCTGTCCTCCACCTTGCTGAAGACTGGCAGGGGAGCTCTGGAGCAGCTAATTCCTTCTGCAGCCCTCTTCCCAGAGAATGTCACAGTTCCTTACAGACAAGGGTTAATCGTAATGGAGAAGGTGGGGTTCTCTCCAGGGATGGAGGAGCACAAGTGGCAGAGCAGGGCTTGTGCTCTGTGCCATTTCAGCTGTGAAGACAGTGCCGGTAAGGATGAGCCAGCTGTCAGCAGCTGGATCTCCTGAGCCCATGACAGCTTTTCACCAGCAAAGCAGCTGCTGTTTCTGCTTCCTTCTCCCTCTGTCTCTGCCTTGGATGCATGTAGGTCCCAAAAAACCTGCCTGCCCAACCGATGGAAGAGGGTTCAAGGTTTTTTGTGGTCTTGGGGAAGGAAAAAGTCTTGCACCAGTGTTTTTCCACATCATTTTTAATCCATTGATTCCCTTTTCCATCGGTGTTATGAAAGCCAAGGCTGCATTTTATAAAGTGTAGTGTTTCAGTTTTGCTTAATCAATTAGAGAAGACAAGAGCCAGGCAGATTTATTTTTTTTTCACAGATCACCATAACTGCAGAGCCCAAGACTGCACAAAAATTTGTGATTGGAATTTTCCAAAGTGCTATTTTTGCAGTCCTAGGTCCTTGGATGAAATGTCCCATTTTAAACTGTGCAGAAGCCCAATTTTCAGTAAGGGTTTGCCCCCGTATCCAGTCTTTTCAACAATGGCCTAGTTCAGCCTTCCAGGACTGGATTTAGTAAATCCTGGTCTTTGATTTTTGGCCTGCTGTACACACTTTCTATTTCATGCAACAAGAGTTCTGAATTTTGGTTTGCAGGTACCTCTTTCCTCTACTCAAGTGCTCCTGCATTAACATTTTTTTTTTGTTTTTTCAGCACCTGCTTCAGCATCTAATCATAAAGCAGCTTCAGGCACCAAACGAAAAGTAGCACTGGATCCCCATATCCGGCTCAAGGATGGGAAACTGGAACTGGTAAGTGGAATGGGTCCCTCTCCCCAAAGCGAGGTCTCCTCTCCCAAGGTGCGCTACACAGAAAATAGTCCACTGGTGTGATACCTCCCTGCTTCCAGCTGCCACATTATTGGCAAGCATGATAAGGTTACGTGAATGGTCTCCTTGTATTGCTTTTCTGTGAAAGAACCGATCGAGATCTTTCAGCTTTGATTCTTGCACTCAGGCACGTGAGGACCGAGCCAAGTGCTAGCATGGGGGGTCACTATGTCGCTTGTGTTTTGGAGGGATTAAAAAATGCAAACCTGAATAGATATAGTTGAAGAGAACCAGTCTGACTGATGGCACGGAATAAAGCTATAGCACTTGGTCAGTGCTCTAATCTACCTGTACACCATCCTCTGCCAAACAGCCTGCTCCAGCCTAATTCCCCTTCATGTCTCCAGGATGCTGACTGGGCTGTGTTGGGAATAGCAATAGCCCAGGCGATGTGAGGTGCAGAGCCAGTCATGGTACTCAGAACATTGCTTTCCCTATTAGCATCACATCGCTCACGTGCTGCAACTAATCTGGTTTTTGAGATGGAGGCATAAGAGTTGGCCACCAAACTGTATTTATTACCAAGAGCCAGGAAAAGAAAGGGTCTCAGCTCTTCAGTCAAGTTTGCTGGAGGTTTGGTCCAGCCTCTAAAGGTAAAAAGGGAGAAGAAGGTGCAGTGAAACATCCCAATTATGTCTGAAGGGGCATTTAAACACACCTTGGCTCATCTTGGCTATTTCTCAATGCTCTGGGGAGCTCCAGAAGTCTTCTCCTGGCAGTTGCACCTCCCTTGGACGTAATGCATTTGACTCAGAGCAGTAGATGCAGACAGCTGCCCTCCAAAATTTCCAGTGCTGCTGTTGCTGCTGGAGTAGCCTTGAGCAGCCTGGTGTGGGCGAGAGAAGGCTGAAATACAAGGTATCTCACTAAGGAGCCAGCCAGAACCGCTGCTCCTCTCAGCATTTTCTGGGAAACATATTCCACGGGCACCATCAAAGGGCAGGGAGCGCAGCTGCCCAGTTGCTCATTGAGACCCCGGTGAAGGGCAGAGAGCCCCTGGGGGGGCCATGCCCTTAGTCTGGCTTTGGGGTGCATGTCCCCCCTGGGTACTGCTGGTATTTGGGGACGGGGAAAGCAGCCCCTTCTGCAGGGCTGGGGGGACTCCAAGGAGGCCCCAATGGAATGAGCATCTGCTGCCGCCCGACGGCAGCTGCCCCACTCACCCTTCTGCTGTTCTCGCCTCCCAGGAGGGCAGCACGCAAGCAGGAACTTTTCTTCTGAGCCTGCCTAATTCTCCTAAAAAGGGATTTAAGATTGTATTTTCGCAGCTACCTCTGCTGTGCATGGGTATAAAAGCAGCTCCTCTTTGGTGGGAGGCGTGGGGAGGCTTGGCTTCCCCTTTTAAAAGCCAGGGTTACGAGCGGGCAGCCGCAGCGGTGCCAGGGTCAGGATGTGCACACCGACCAGTACAACCCAAGATGGTTTTGAGGTGACCCATACCAGGTGCCAGCATCAGCATCCCAAAGCCCAGCAGCCTGCAGCACCGCCTTGCACAGGGGTGGCAGGCACAGGAGCAGGAGGTGGGGCTCAAATGGGCAGCGCGTGAGAGTGGACAGGTCCCACGGGTTTGCTGGTGATGGCAATGTGAGCAAGGACTCGTCTCCAGCCCCTTTCCTGGGGACCATGCAGGAGGCGCTGGATGAGCTGTGTGTGCAGCCTGGGACAGGCAAACATTTAACTCAGGCTCTTTCCCAGAGTCCACTGAGCTTAACTTTGTCTTTTAAAAGCTTTTACTTGCTGCCACAGGCAGTGAAGTGGGGTTTGTACAGGTTTATCTGCTTCTGTGTGGTGCCCTGGGGTTGAACTGATAAGCATCAGTAGAAGACGGGGCATCAGGCATAATGAGAGAGCAAAAGATGAAACAATGTTTGAGTGTCTCCAGTTGCCACAGGAAATACTTTGTGAATAGCTTTTATCTTGATCCCAAACAGTTCCTGGGCAGTAAGAGAAAGAGAAGAGGCTGAGCTCTTGGCAGCTGAGCCTTGCTACAGCTCCACCAGCTTCTGATAAAGCTCCTGACAGTTTGTCATAGCTGCAAATCTGGTTGCAGTCTGTACAAAATGTTCTTGAAGGGATGGGGATGTGTCCTGTCTTCAGGAATAGACATTTCTGTACACATGTAGGAGAGGAGAGACTGGAAATCAAGCCCAAGACTGCTCCTTTGGGAGATGCTGCCTGGAGAACCACTTTCAGGAGAAACCCAGCACTAAGTGTCTTCCCAGCACTTACTTCAAAGAGTTGCTTTTCCAGTATTTTTCTTTTTAAAGGCTCATTGTTTCTGCTCAAGGTTCTGCAGTATCTTGGTCTGGATGTGACTGAGGAGAAGAAGAGGCAGCTACGACAAAGCTTGACCACAGACTCGCAGGGGACGGTGGCCTACGGAGGTGAGCGGGCAGCTCTGCACATGACGGGCTTTTTCATTTTTGTGTAGCTTTGCTAGCAGCTAAGAAAGGAGAGAGGCTTCTGCTGAAAGGTGGCAGGTAAGACACCTGCCTGGGTATTGCTGTAGCCTCAGAACAGTTACGAAAAGTCACAAATACCAAAGGAGTCATTTGGTAGAAGCATATGTAAAAATCAGAATAAAAGAAAGTTGGTGCGAAGGCTTGCTTTCCTTAAAACCTCAGCTTTCCTAGCAAGAGCTGGCCAGGCCACACGCAGAAAATAAAAGCTTGATCTGTTGTCTGTGACCTGCCAGAGCACATCTGTCCCACAGGGTCTGCTCCCTAGAAGTTTTTTCGCAAAAATTCAAAGCCGTTAGCAACGTTCCCACCAGACAGAACAGGTTTGCAAAGCACACCACCTCTTGCATGGATGTTTTTGTGCAGCGTGAGCGATGGGCTACAGAGCCATGCACCTCTCCTAAGAGCGACTGGCTTCGTAGTTTGTGGCAATATAAATAAGGATGATTAGGGGTATTTGGCAATTGTGCTGGCAGTAAAGATGCTGCTTTTGTGCAAAGGCTCTGGCTCCTCGTGCAGCCCAGGTGCTGAGGACCGGAGGGGTTGAGACTCCAGTGCTGCCTCCTCTCCGCTGTGCCAGCTCCCATCTGTCCATGCAGCCCCTTGCACCATGCTTTCCTCCATGTCTGAAAGCAAAATGAATCTGGATTTTCAGACTTGTCAATTTAACACCTTTCCAAAGTGCTGAAATCATTGAGTTGTTATTTGTTTAAATCGGCAACATGAGAAATGCCAGCAGGCAAGCCAGTGCCTTTTGTCAGAGAAATGTGGTTTTGGCTTAACATTTTATAACTCTGAGAACCACACTCCACCGCCAAAATATATGGTGGTTTTTGGTTTTTAAAAGTTTAAATTTTTTCAATTAGATAAGAAACAAAAGTCTAGTAAAGGTTGTCAACAACTTATTTAAACTTGATGGGATTGCTGAAGAACCCAGGAGTGTTAGGGAAGACTGGCATCTCTAAACCTGCTCTGCTTTGCAGTCAGCAGATGTCCCCCAAATTAGTGGCATTTTCTCCTAACACACAGCACTTTTCTCTTTCAGCCCAGTAAAAACTGATTCTCTTCACAGATCTTCTCCAAGCACTCAGGGATCTGATGCAGGAGGAGCTGGATGAGGCTGGTCTGGATTCCAACTCCATGCTCTTCACACAGCACGAAGTGGCCAGTTTGCTGGATACATCGGCTTTTCACTCTCCGGTCAGTCAGTCCAACACTCATCTACACTGAATCCATGAATCTCCTGTGTGAAATCCATGAAATTCTGAGACAAGAAAAGCTAAATTGTTCTAGAGTTACAAAGAGAAGGCAGAACTATGTGCCAATCATTTCAATTACAGGAAATTCTATAAAAGACCTCAAACTTCTCATTTTTAATAAGGAAATAACACTATCTATGGGATTATATGAAGGAAGCAGCCTGACAGTGATGCATAAGGAAAATTAGCCATAGTTAATCAATTCCAACTCATTTCACCTGGTTCACAAAATGAAAATTCACTGTAGCACAACTATTCCAGCTATGTCAGGGATCAGAGAGTGGAGTGAAAAAACCCTGCAGCTGAATTATTTAATGTGCCTTTTGATCTGTTGCATAAAAATGCTGACTCCTTTTCAAAGTGATTTTGATTCATCGTTATTCTGGCTATGGAAAACAATATGCCTGCCATATAGCCCCATGCCTTTAGTAAAGCATAAGTAGTGCATGATGCTGTCTGTCCCTCTGCCTTGCAGACCTTCGACTCTCTCAGCTGTAACGGCAATGAGGAGCTGGAGCAGCTGCAACTGGAAATGATGGATCTGCGGCAAGAAGTCCGAAGGCTAAAGGTGGAGCCTCTTGGCTGGTGCCTTCTGCGGTAGCTCTCTGTAGTCGTACGTGAGGGTGATGGTGTAGCCTGTCCCTCTTAAGAAGCCACCAGTTTACATTCTGCGCTTTCCTTGTTACAAAGGAGACTCTCACTCTCCCCTCTCCTTAATTTCCAAATAAAAACTTATTTGTACTGAAAGTATGCAGTCACTTTTTAGCAGCGAGTAAATACATTTAAAAATACAAAAATGTGTCTCACAAATCATTCAAGTCCGTGAATAACAGAAGCACCGCCTGTCCTCCCTCCCATCCCGACCTAGCTGCAGATTGCTGGCATGGCTGTTAGCACCATGGTGGATGGGTCCAGGTGGATTTCTGCAGGCGTCCAGTTTGCAGCCCAAAAAGCACTGTGGTGGGGGAGAGTGCACACGACTGCTTCTGTAAAATATTATTCTGGTGGGTAGGAGCTACAAGACCAGGGCATCTTCTAGAGAATCTCCTACCGCTTATTGCTTCTAATCTGGTAAAAATGTTTTCCGTAGTCTCTCCTGAAAGAGGTGGAGAACACCAAGAAGTCAATGGAAGATGAGCTTCAGAGACTGAACCAGGTTAGTGAAGAGATTGCTGGGGGCCTTGAGGTGGTTTTGGTGATTGGAAGCTGAGGGGGATGTGGTGCATTCACCAGAACTTCTTGCTGCTTCCAGAAAGCACTGGGGTTCCTCTCCGAGAACCGGACGCTGCACAGCAAGCTGCAGATGGCAGAGGTCGTGCAGAGACAGGCTCATAGTGCGGAGCAGGACTATGAGGAGGTGATCCACTTGCTGGAAGCTGAAATTGCAGAACTGAAGATGCAGCTGGCAGGGAAGAAAGCAAAACACATCTCTGAAATAGCGGTAATGCAACCCCTTAGCCTGGGAACAGGCTAACAACTGTCCTGCCCCTTCTTCTGTGGGTTCCCATCCTTCTATTTATAAAGGAGAAAATGAACTTAGCACATACATCATTTGTTGAGTATGACCATAAGGCTGGCATGGTCTCTGGGTCTCTGCTATAATCTGTATAATTTCCACTGTCTGTTCTAGAAGGACAGCAGTTTTCTGTTTGTAGCAAATGTCATAAATTGATGTTTCCAAAAGCCAAGGCTGGAGCGTCATCATACCCTTTCTCTTCTTCCTCTGGCCCCATCTCAGGAGGACATCCTGGAACTGAAAAGACAGTTGTCCCTGGCTGACGGCCAGTTACGAAAATCAGAAGTCTCACGGAAGCGCCTGGAGATCTGCAATAGGAAACTGCTTCTGTTTGTGCAGGTGAAGTGCTGAACCACCCCCAGTGCTGGTGGCATCGCAGCAGCCTCTTACCTTCAGGGTGATTTTGCAAGTCCAAATAACTTCCTGCTCCATGAGCAAGAGAGGTTTTTTTAATTCAATCTCATCCTAAAAAGGCACTGTCTGTTGGTTAGGAGAAACTAGAGAAGGAACTCCTATACACTCATATACCTATGAGCTAAGTAAACACCACGGTGCAGGTTTTGGCTGGTGTCTCTGCTGTCCCTGGCTCACCGGTCCACCCATGCTGCTCTGGTAGAGGCTGCTCCAGGAACTCTGTTGGACATGATGGTTGAAATCATGTGTTTTAACCTTCCCTTTGTATAACTGACAGTTGCTTCTCTACACAAGTGTGAACTTGAAGAGTGGTTTTGCTCTTCCAGTGCTTTTTTGACTCAGATATCCTGCAAAATCTCACATGTAATTGCTTTAGTCTTTTAATTGACTTTTCTTCCACTTCACTACCTGTATCAGGACTACAAGCTTGTGCAATTAGTAAACTGGCCAGCATGGGAAGCGCTAGTATTCAGTATACCTGCTACAGTTATAGTACAGCTACAGTAGCCTATGCCAAGAGCTCTTGAAATCAATAGGAAACAGCGGAGTGCAAGGAAGCATAGATGCTGTGTCCTCTGCTTCAGAGAAGGAAGAATTAAAATGCCTCTAGACCTGCAGCACTACGTGCTGGTGCCTGTGCAGTTTAGGGCTGGACTTTGGAAATGGATTTGACTTGGTCCCAGGGTCAAACATCACAGGATTTTGACCACTGAAGCAAACTATCTTCCTTTTTTATACATCCCTCAGTAGTGTTTGAGAATTCACTAACCGTGCAAGGTAACGAGAGCTTACGCGTGCAGGTACAGTCCAGAAACTGGGGATTGCTAGTAGCAATGATCAAGACTCGCTGAAACGTAGCCTGCACAATTGTTCTTTGGAAGAGTATTTTTATGTTGCATTTCATATATTTTAGTGTTGGTATTAAAATGCATAATTTAGATGTGTCTGTATATTTGCATAGGCTGTGAATGTTGCTTGAGTTGCAAAAGGCCTTGAGATATTCACTTCAAGGGCAATGAATAAGGAGAAGCTGATTACTGTCATATTAAATCTGATCACCAGGAAAAACCCATGGGGTTTATTCTCAGGAATTATTCATTTCTACAAGTTTGAATTTTTTATTTATTTTTTGTTGTTGTTGTTGTTGTTGCATGGCAGAATGTCCACAAGGTCCTGAGCACACCCAGTCATTTACCAGATGAGAAGAGGTAGGAGATGGCTTCTGGGAATCTTGAACATGAACATGAAATGTCCTTTTCTGACCTTTCTCAGGGGAAGGTGATTCACATGTAACCTACCCAGAGTTTCTAAACATGCTGTTGCTTTGGAAGTGAAACCATCGGGGAAAGATGATCTGGAGGCTGCTGGTGGATTGGTACTTGGTGGGGTTGGCCTCCGTTCAGGTCTTTTTTGGGGAGTGAGTAGGTGAAACACTCCTCTGGTTAAGTTGTTCTTGTTAGCAGAAACCCTAAGCAGGTTGTTTCAAAGAAGCAGAGTTTTGACCCACCTGCTTTTCCTAACATAAGTCAGGTTTTGTCTTTAGGACCATGTCCTTTTTCATTAGCAGTTACAGTAACTGATAGAGTGTAAGCAAAGAGTTAGCATGACTCTCAACTGCATGAAAGGTTGCAGAAATAGAGTTCGGGATTCTGGACTCCCCTTCAACCTGAATCTATCTCCTATCACTTGGAAAAAAATGTATCACAACTCTATGTGTGCTTTTAATTAAATCATTGAAAGGTCACTGTCCCATTGATAATGACCAGCACCTTTAAAAATGTCAGTTTTTAAGAATGATTGAAAATTATTTTTAAGTTTCCAAGATGGTTACTTCTAATATAATGAAGGAAAAATGTTTTTGAGAAATTCTAAATACTTTGATATCTGTCTGTAACACGACGATGCAACTATGTGCTATTGAGCTATCAAGATGCAATCCCCCTTGAATACACAGAATTTACATAGAGTATCCTTCACAAGAGGCTGGCCAGGATTTTCAATGACCATTCTATGATATAAGTATTGATGGCACTTTCCATATTTATAAGAGTCAACAGTGAAACAGAAGAGGATAAAACAGACGCAGTCTCAGATACATCTCTTCCATCTTCAGATCTTGTTGACCTCTTGCTATCAGAAGCTAAAGAACTGTTAGCACCAATCCTCTCCAACAAGGACGGTAAGCACTAAATTAACTGGAGAAACCTGAATCCAAACAACTCTCAAGGATGTTTGTTAATGTTAGTTACAGTTTCCATCACCTTCCATATTTTTTGCCATACCAATTAAACCTCCCATACGTGTACCTGATTCTCTCATGCTAACCGAGACGTAAGTGCCCTCCATGTATCCATGTGACTCACCTTTGACTCTGAAATGCAGACTCGCAGTGTAAGGAGTCAAAGGGTGTGACTTGTGCCCAGGGCCAGAGGAAAGGCATCCAGGGGAAAACACCTAACAGGCAGGAGGATGGTTTCATAGAATCATAGAAATGCTGGTTGAAAGGGACTGCTGGAGATCAGGAATCAAATCTTCTGCTCCAGGTAGGACCATCACATTAGATCAAGTCTGCAGTGGGTTTAGCCAGCTGTGCTTTCAGCCCCCAAGGATGGAGATCCACAGCCTTTCTGGATAACGTGTTCCTACGCTGCATTATGCTCTGTGAAAAAGATTTTCCCAGCATCTAGTCTGAAGTCCCCCAGGTGCAATATGTGGCCACTGCCCCCAGTTATATTGTCTGCCACTGCCAAGGACAGCTTGGCTCCAACGTCTTTCTAATTGCCCTTGAAGTAGAAGCAGGTGCTGCGAGACTGCCTCTCAGCCTCCTCGTTGCCAGGCTAAACAAGCCCAGCTCCTTCAGCCCTTCCCAGCCTCTCCCTGCAGGTTATGAGCCCTAGGGCTTCCTTTGCTGGACCCTGTCCAGTTTCTCAGAAGCTTTGAACTAGGGATCCAAACCTTTGTTACGCCATCCACGTATGACTACAGCAATGCTGAGAGGAGAGGAATAGTAACCTCCCTGTTTCCTTGGCATACAAACCAGCCCAGACTCCCTTCCCCTCACATGTCTGTTGATGGGAGAAAATCAGAGAAAAAGCATCTAGCTCCATGGGAGTCTGAATTAACCTTCCCAGTCTGCGACTCTGAGCTTAGTCCATGAGCCACAAACATTTCTTGGCAGCAGTTATTTGACCCCGCTTGTCTCCTTCCATGCAAAAGGAGAGTTTCTGATCTCCGTGTCATGATTAGGTGAGCGTACAGCCCCAAATAGGTGCCCAGGCTTTACTCTTTGATGCTATTCACCAACCAAACATGGCCGTGGTCCAGCATTGTCTTTGTCTCAAAGCACAAGACACAAGAAAAATAATTGTAGCCTTTAAGAAGCACCTCTGATATGAGTGTGTCAGCATTTTCAGAGTTCCTGCATCATTTAAACGTGTATTATCATAATGCAGCAGTGCTACATGCATTGGGCATGTTTTCTAACCCTTCACTTACGGTTGGCTGTGTGCTTACATTTGCAGCTTTGTCATGTGACGGGGACCAGTGCCTGCCTGCTGAAGGAATCCCAAATTACAAGGAGTAAGTGTCAAAACTGCCGTGGTCTGTAATTTTGACAATACACACACTAAAAATTCCTGTTCGTTTTGTTGAGGTTCTTTAATCAAAAGTTTTGCTTGACAACTTTTACCAAGATAATCTGGTAGAGGCCTCCAGATGGCCATGGCAGAGAAATACGTTGCTTCCTAGATAGCAAGAGATTTCCTGCCCTGCACAGTGAAGTACGGTGTGAATTCCTGGATCTCTCTTTTGCTTTCTGAAATGTTCTTTCTCCTTCAGGCCAGATGGGAATTTACGGTTCTATGGCTTGTGTAGCTGGCATTTTTATAGACCACTGTGAGTTCTGAGTAAGGGAAAAAGCATCACTGAACATGTTAATCTTTTGTGTTGTGCTATCAAGATGAGATGAAGTCCCAGCCAAGGAGAGCACGAAAACATGGCTTTGGGCCTTCAGTATCTTAAGAATTCCCCTAAAACCTCTTAAATGCCTTATATTTAACAGAGCCATGTCCTAAAGATATCTGCTGAAAGGGCACTTTGAGACCTAAAGGTCTACTATCACTGTCTTAGCTGACCACTTTAACTCAACCTGAAGACCTGTCAGCACAGTTTTTTAGTTAGGTACAAAGCAGACATTTGCAAACCACAATTTCAAGGTTATGAAAAGCATTTTAATACAAAACAGAGGGCCTGTACAATCCACTAGCCATGCAAGATTCGTGGTCTTTTTTCTCCTAAATAACCAGTGTTGTCTTCATGTCATCCTCTGTGTCCTCCTCCCAAATTACATAAAACATATTTCTCATTTTCAGCCATCTTCATCAGAAGACCACATGGCCCCCTCCTGCAAGCCAGACCAAGAGTGATCAACCACAGCAACCAAGTCCAACCAACGAACTGCCTAAGAAGTCTACATAAATCTCCCATCGCTTGCTCTTGCTCCAAACGGCGACTGTCCAGAACACAGCTGCTGCTGTGCTGGGAGATGGGAAGGACAAACCATGGGAGCTTCAGCTTCCAGGCAAACCAGACTGAGAAACAAGCTTTCTGACACAAGACTAAGTCTTCCTAACCACCCAAGACTTTTTCAGCAACCTCCCCTGTGCGTCTACCTCTGAGTTATCACACAAGGCTATTTGCTCACGGTTTTGCAGCTTTATAGGAAAAATATTCTCAAGAGGCTACAACGGCCTGGATTTCACTGACAGCCTTTTAGAGCTTGTATTCTGGCTAGTAAAAGGAGCACAAACTTACCCAAGGGACTCAGGGGTCTCCAACAGATTCTTTTTGGTATTTCATATGAAAAACCAAGGTATATTTAGCGACTGTAATCAAAGCAGCTTAATCTGTAGTGTCCTAGCTGTCTT